GAGGTTGAGCTGGGGGAAGAACAGAAGAGAGCAAGATAAGAGATACTATAATAAAGGGAGACATTATAGGTTTAAAGAGAAATCAGGCACTAGGGAAATGTTTGGAGAGCTACAAAGATGACACCAACTAATAATCTAAGCAGTAGAGGAGAGGCTACCTTAAATGCCCTCTCCTGATAATGAGATTGATAACTAATTCATATGCCATCGTATAGCCTTCATCCAGTAGCTGGTAGAAGTAGAAGCAGACACCCACAGCTAAACCTTGAACTGAACTGAAATCCAGTTGCAGAGGAGGACTGATGAGCATCAGGGTCCATACCAGGCTGATGAACCCCACAGAAACAGCTGACCTGAACAAGGGAGAGCTCTTGGTCCCCAGACTGATATCTGGGAAACCAGCATGGGACTGATCCAGACCCCCTGAATGTGGGTGTCAGTGATGAGACTTGGAAATCTATGGGACCTCTTGTAGTGGATCAGTGCTTATCCCTAGCATAAGAATGGACTCTGGGAGTCCATCCCACATGGAGGGATACTCCCTGAGCCTAGACACAAGGGGGTTGGCCTAGGCCCTATCCCAAAGGATATGACAGACTTTGAAGACCCCCCCCCATGGAAGGCCTCACCCTCCCTCCCTGAGGAGCAGATCTGGTATGAGATAGGTAGGGTATTAGTTGGGGGTGGCAGGGGAGGCGGGAAGGGAGAGGGACCTGGGATTAACATGTAAAATAATTTTCTTTCTAATTAAAATTTAAAAAAGAATAGCTTAATAGCAACAGTTCTGGACAGCCAGAGTTCAAAACACCGCTCTAGATTAATAATCAAGTATCACTGGTTAAGTTTCTTACACATTTGTTCTCCTGTCCCCTATTACAAGGATTATAATAGCCCATACCTCTTAAGTTTGTTATAAAAACCAGATTAGCCAATAAGTGGAAATGGCTTAAAATAGTCATGATCCACTGTTATGGTAAAAAGAACTTGCAAATTATATAAAAATATTTCACTTCACTGATTAAACAATCAAAAAGCATCAGACTGTTTTTAACCAGGGGAAACTTTGAATATAGCTTATTAATATCCAACGAGAACACTCTGGTATAGTTCTGAGCACTTTATACCACCATTCCTCAAATTCCCCTTATCTAATGAATTTTCTGACTGTGTCATCATGGCTAAGTGTCTGGTTCTGCATTTACCATGGCTTCTTTATTGGTTACTGGAGCGTAGTATTCTTCAGCCCCATGGAGCCTGGCGCCTCTATTCTATTAAGAGTTCTATACTACATTGAGCAGGACAAGGAAAGGAGGAACTGAGAGCAAATGGCAGGGGATTGTGTGGAATTTTTAGGAAGATCAAATGTATAACCAAATAAAAGGATAGAGACAGTAGAGCTAGACTTGAGAAACCACTGCAACAAGGAAAACAAAAGACAACCTGTGAGGTTGGGGATATGGGTTCCTGGGTAAGACTACGTGTTGTGCAAGCATGAGGATTCTAGTGCAAGTTCCCAGGAAACAGAAAAAAAAAATCCAGGTATGCCCACATGGGAGCAAAGAGGAGAGTCCCAGAGGCTCACTAGCACAAGCAAAATAGCAAGCTTCTGGCCTAGTCAGGTCAATAAAGAAATATACCTGGATGTCCTCCCATGACCTTCTCATGCACAGGTACATATGCTTACACACACACACACACACACACACACACACCATGAATAAAAGAGGTAGTGAAGCAGTAAGTCATGACTCTCCTTTACTTTGTTAGTAAATAAGAATTTCCACTTCTGAATGACCAATTAGATGATGAGGTTCCAGGAAAGACCATCATCATGTTATTAACCACATTTACATTAAATATAGAACAGACATGGGAAAATGGTAATGACTTGACATTTAGATATGAGTAATTAGAGGTAATTACGAAAGACCCATATGAGCATCTATGGGGGCTATCTTATTCAAGCCACCACAAGGTCACTGGAAGTATGCTGTTGATGGATCTGTGAGACTGTTACCCTGTCATAGCCTTTTTCTTCCTGGAAATGAGTGGAGCATTTCTGCATTACTTCTCATTTCTGCCAATGAATACTGCTCCAGCCAAGGTAGTAATGTTAACCAGTCATGGATTCAATTCTCTCCAACTGTCAATCCAAACTTTTGTATTGCTACAATGGTTATCTCAAACATGTATTTGTCACAATTAACAGGATGTTGACTGATAGGGAATGTTGGCACTAGGGAAGTGCTGTGGTCTTTGCTGCTTTTGTATGCTAACAATCTGGGCCCTTCAGAAGGGTCTGCTGGAACAAGTTTAAAAAGTCTGAAATTCTGTAAGCAGAGATGTAATGGTTGGTGCAGCTAGGAACTTGGACAGTAACATTCTGCTGGTGAAGTTTCAGATGGAAAGCAGAATGCCACTGGGAAATGACCAAAGCCCCTCCCTCCTATGATATGCCAACCAACCAGTTTGAGGCTTTTTGCCCATGTTATGAGACACCATGTGCTTTGAACTTGAAGATAATAGATTTGTCTGTCTGACAAAGACAACAAAACATTCGGTCCTCAGCATGAGTGTGACTGGCTGCTTTTAGCCAAATTTAAGGAGAGAATATGGACCAAAGAAAAGAAAGCAGCAAGACTGGGAAATTCTTCAGCATGGCTAGAAAAAGAGGCACACGTACACTTCGGCAAAGTGACACCAGCAGAAGCAAGAAGGAACCAAATCCCTCGCACACAGGAAAGAGATGCCCTGTGAGTCCCTCAACTTCCACAAATCACAGCTCCAGAGGGCTTAACTGCAGAGTTCTTGGATGCTTCACTCACCCAGAAACTACTAGAGAATAATTTCCTCAAGTTTAGCCATCCGTAAAGAGCTCATTACACAGTTTGGGTGGGACCAGCTAGCTTAAGCTGTAAGTAAACTTCAGTGTCCTCTCTATGATCCTGTTTTCACAGGAAGGCAGAATATAAGCCCTGAAAGAGGGTCATAAATGTTCCCATTCAGATTTCACAGAAATAGCTGGCCAATTGGCTTAGAATCCCAGCAATCAGACAGGTGAATGCATGGAGCTGAAGCTTCCATGGAGATTCTAGAAGGCAGAAATGCAGTGCTCCTTGGGTTTACTGCAGCCAACAAGCAAAAGTGGCACAAGGGGCTGGTCATATGGACTGAAACCAAGAAGACCAGAGAGTGTAGGGTGGCACAAGCCTTCAAGTCCATATCTGGTGGCAGTGTGCTACAGGTGCCACACTGGGATACTACAGGTTCTTCCCTGCTGCGTCTTGCTTTGGTCTGATTCCTTTCTATGTCCTGAATTCTCCCCATGTCTGTTTCCCTGCTATGCCTGGGATATGTGATAACTCTGGGCTTTACAGGGTTCATACTTCACTTTGCCTGTGTCACAGTTTCTTTCAAGTAACACTGAAATAATTAAGGTTTCATGACCCAGATGTGTGGAGTAAATGTGCTGTGCACTCAAAGACAGCCATGAAAATTGGGGTGGGGGAGTCTGCAGCTGAATACTAGAAGTTTAATATTACCCAAAAGCCCAGGCACGAAAGAGGGTGCGACTATTGGGAAGATGTGCAGTCTGAAGAGAGGTCCTGAAGTCTCTGGAGATATGCTCCTTAGTGGCCCCAGCCATTCCCCACCCTCCTTAGCTTCCTGACAATGGGGAAATTTGATCTCCTATTATGTGTTACCTCAACCAAAGCAAGGAGCTAACCAAGCATGGACAGAACTTCTAAAGTAACAACCCAAAAGAAGCTGTTTGTTTCTTTATAAGTAAGTTGTGTTGGGTATTTATTATAATCATGAAAAGCTTACTAAAACACACATACAAGAAACCGGTGCTCAGAATCACATGGATAATCCATCATTATCAATAGTTACAACATTTGAGTTGTTTATTCCCCAGTTAAGCATAAACTACATTGATCTACTCTTAACTAGCTACCTGACCATTGTGACAATTACTAAGGTAACTAATGCAAATCAGTCTGTGACAACAAGTAGGAAAACTGCACTAGGGAAGCCTAGTCATATGCCGTGACCCCATTAAAATGATCTGCCAGCTTTCTAAAGAAAAAAAAAGAGGCAGCAAAAACCAGAAAGAAGTGAAAGATGTCACCTCTGCTCATCCTCTCTTTAAATGCAGAGATGCTCTAGAAAATAAATCATTGAATCTTTCTTCCTCTTTGCTTTTGCTTATTGGACAATGCATATTTGTGTGAGGAAATTGAGTTTCTATTTTACTTCCTGATGGAAAAAAAAGGGGGACAGCACATGATATATGACAATAATCAGACCACTTAAGATCCTCTTGTGTGGTATTTTATGAAAATTCAACCATTGACTTCAAACAGTGAAGTTAACTCACTCCACAAACATAATGTACAGAGAGATCAAGTCAACTGGGAGATGCTCAGGTTTGGAATACTCCATGAGAAGCTCATAAGTGAAAATTCAGTAAAATCAAACAACGAGAAATGCAATCTTTAGGTTGAGAAAGACTTAAAATTATTGAAAGCAGGTCATCTTTTTCTAAGATAAAGATGCTGTGGCTTCCACACAGTGACTTAGAAAACATTGTTTCTCTTACCTCTCTCCATTCTTTATTTCCAACTGCTTGTATATATAAGACACAAACTACAAAAGATGGAAAACATACACATATGTAAAAATCTGGTATGAATGTACATGATTTCTATGTCAACTGTCCAACGGCTACATCAAAATAGCATGCCTGATTCTGTTTTACTCTTACAAGGAAATCACCAAAATATCATCCAATGGTTAAAGTTATTTCAAAGAATCAGAAAACAAACTGTGTCAACCTTCAAAATTTATTATAAATATATTTTAGTATACAGAGAATATTACCATATTTGATAATGCCTTTAGATTACACTATAGATGTGGATAAAATTTTAAAAACATACTTCGATAATTTCAAATATCATGATTTAAAAGGTGTATAAATGCTTTTGAAGATACTAAAATTGCTCAGAGCAACCCCAGAAGTGACAACCTGAGGCAAACATACTCTGCATTTATACCTGTAACCCATCATCACAGTTTGTAAATGGGTAACGTATTCTATTAATCGATAAAGAAACCCCCCCCAAAAAAATGAAGACTAAAGAGTCTACATAAATGATTCTGTGTTAAGAAGAATCTTAGCACTTGTCAAATGAGGCTCAAGGATTTTCCTGTCCACAAATGCCAATGTCTTTTCTCATTTAAAAAACAAACAAATATAAATAGTAAGTATCACATAATTTTTTACAACATTAAGTAAAATAAACAATATTTCACTTACTTGGATCAGACTTAGAAAATGTGTCTCTATCAAGAAGATTTCTGTTAAATAAAACAGAGAATGCTAGTTAATCATAAAACCAAACACTTAAGATTCCTATAATGTCACAAAACACAAATATGTAAATGTATCCACAAAACTAAATGTGAACTTTCCAAAGTCTTGCTTCTCTCATTCAGATTGATGATTATCAGAGGACTAGAAATGAGGCGATTCCTGTCCTTGTCCTGTGTTACTGATGACCAATGACATGACTCTCCACATTGTGGAACTAGAATGTCTGTGCAGATGTCACCTCTCCAGGTCTCCTTTTAACTCATCACTGAGCACCTGCAGGTGCTTGGACACCTCACAAACTGAAATGTGAGTCAGTTACTAAGACAAGCTCAGGGATTCAGAGCTTGTGCACACATAGTGCATGTAACAACATGCAGTAGGAAGCCCCACCCACTGACACTTCACAGCCCTGAAGGGTTGCTGCAAACAACCTCTTAGTCTGAGAATTTCTGATGAACACATAGACTTTGTTTAAGCATTCTTTCTAGTAGGAGCAAATATCAGACAACTAGACAGAGTTGACACAACTGATTTACTTTTTTGCATCTATTTGCATATCTATAACAGCATAATGTGAAACTAGAAATGGGCATTGGTATATCCTGTTATCTTCAACAGCACTAATACAATCATATACATTATCCTCTAAAAATAACACTGATTATCATTTCAAAAATTAAATACAGTTGCTGGGGAGATGGCTCAGTCATGAAGTGCTTACTACACAAGCCTGAGGACCTGGAGTCAGGGCCCCATCACACAAGTCAAAAACCAGGTAGTGTACCATGTGCCTCTCTGCCTAACCCAGGGGAAGCAGAGACAGATGGGTGGGTCCCTATAGCTCAAGGACCAGGTGGTTTTGCTGAGTCAGCAAGTTCCTGGTTGTGAGAGACCCTGTCTCAAAAAGTAAGGTGAATAACAATGGAGGAGGATATCAGTGTTAACCTGTGGCTTTCCCACACACATACACACAGACACATACACACAAACAGACAGACAGAGACAGAGACAGAGACAGAGGCATGTGCACCTACACACAAACAAACACACACAAACCAAAACATAAGAGTTGAGTTCACTCCTCTCTGATTAATAAGGTAGGCAAGTATTAAGAAAGTTATATCTCAAACTGTTCTTTAAAATGATCATTTTAAGATGTAGCCCTTTTGGATCACTCTTCCACTGCTGGTGGGAGTGCCAACTCCTACAGCCACTTTGGAAATCAATATGGTGGTTCCTTGGGAAAATGGAAATCAGTCTACCACAAGATCTGTCAATTCCACTCTTAGGCATATACCCTAAAGATGCACATTCATACAACAATGGCATCTTTTAAACTATGTTCATAGAGCATTATTTGTTTTTTTTTACCAATTATGATTGCTTTATTATAGATTTTTTTCCATTTGTTTATTTGAATTAAAAACAAGACTGTTTTACATGTCAATCCCAGTTCCCTTTCTCTTTCTCCTCTTCCCCTGCCACTCCCCCCAACTAAAACCCTACCCATCACATACCCTTTCTGCTCCCCAGGGAGGGTGAGGCCTTCCATAGGCAGTCTTCAGAGTCTGACATATCCTTTGAGATAGGGCCTAGGTCCACCCCTGTGTGTTTAGGCTCAGGGAGTATCCCTCTATGTGGAATGGGCTCCCAAAGTCCATAGCTATACTAAGGATAAATACTGATCTACTACAAGAGGCCCCATGGATTTCCAAGGTTTCCTCACTGACACCCATGTTCATGGGGTCTGGATCAGTCCCATGCTGTTTTCCCAGATATCAGTCTGGGGTCCATGAGCAACCCTTGTTTAGGTCAGCTGTTTCTGTGGGTTTCACCAGCCTGGTCTGGACCCCTTTGCTCATCATTCCTCCCTCTCTGCAAGGGGATTCCAGTTCAGTTCAGTGTTTAGCTGTGGGTGTCTGCTTCTACTTCCACCAGCTACTGGATGAAGGCTATAGGATGGCATATAAGTCAGTCATCAATCTCATTATTAGGGGAGGACATTTAAGGTAGCCTCTCCCCGGTTAATTAGATTGTTAGTTGGTTTCATCTTTGTATATCTCCAGACATTTCCCTAGGGCCTGATTTCTCTTTAAACCTATAATGTCTCCCTCTCTTATGGTATCTCTTATCTTGCTTTCCTCTATTCTTGCCCTGACTCAACCTTCCTGATCCCTCATGTCCTCCTCACCCCTCCTCTTCTCCCTTTCTCATTCTC